CAGCGCCCCCTGGTGCTCTGCGCTGCAGCCACTGTGAGGAGGGCTGCTGTTTACAAAGGAAACGATGGTTTCCAACTTGGATGAACTGGGGACGGAATCGCTGTGACAGGCAGTAATAACACAGCCAGCTCTGTTGCCGTTTGCGCTGAATATAAGGCTTGCAATGCCTAAGATAGGAGAGCTAGTGGAGAAAAAAAGTAGAACTCTAATGGTATGAGAAGTATATTTTTATCATTATCTCCAATAGAAAGACTTTTAACGGTTTCCTTTTTTAAAATCCTTTTCCTTGTCTGTGTGCAATGTCTGTCGTGTTTGAGCTTTCTGCAGAGCAGACTTCAGTAAGAAGCACTAGCTCTACTTTAAATCACTATATCCTGCTGCCCCTATAGCCAAGGGTCAAGGGGACTTCATCATGTAGGCTTCTAACCTTCCTCTCTGTGTGTTTTTTTTTTTTTTTTTTTTTCTTTCTCTCCTCCCCTCTCTCTCTCTCTCTCCAGAGGAGAGCCAGGGGTGTTTTAGACATGAGCTAAATTAGTCCTGATGTGTGAGCTTGTGCAACTGTCATCTTGCAGTGCAGCAAGTTGTGTTGTAGTCTGGGGTGACGCTCATATGGAGTTCCTGAGGAAAGCAGAGCACTGCATTTTTCCAATGCTTTGTCAAGGTGTGGAAGACACTGGGATGCCAAATTTCTGTTTGGTGTGTGGTGTTTTGTTTTTTTTTTTTTTTTTTTCTCTCTCTGGAGATCAATAGAGCTGAAGTCAGTGACTGAGGCAAGTCACTGAAGAGAATCATGCTCACTGTCACTTGCTGAGATGAGAATGAGAGGTGTCTGGTTCTTGATCTAAGTGAGGACGCTCTGATTCCTGTCAATTGTTCTGACTGAAATGTCTGAAAACCTTTTTGCTTCCATTCTAGGTTAATGGAGACGGCAAGAGAAATGACCAGAGAGTCCTTACCTATCAAATGCCTTGAAGCAGTTATCCTGGGGATGTATCCTTTCACATGTCCATATCTTGTTCTACTGGAGCGCTGTTTAATATATTGCCCATCTTGGATGCTGTTCAAGATGCCTGCAGCTGAGGGTGAGTGTGAACAGCCTGGAAAGTCTCGGTATCGATCGGCACGTTGCCGAATCAACTAGATTTGTTAGTAGGAACTTGGGTGCTGTGTGCATATGTTTCCAAGTGTCTCTTGACATTAATTCCAGCAGTGCCAGCTTTGCCTCCTGCCCTGGTAACTTGCATCATGTGAGGCCTTGACCCTGAGTGCCCAGCTAAGCATCTGCCTACACAGTTCGGGCTCCCTCCATTAGTTTTCCTGTGCTCATCACTGTCAGAGCTACCTAATGCCTGTGAAGCCTGAGCTCTGTGCTGTGCTTGTCTAATGCTTGCGTGACTGGGTCCTGTTCACTGGATTTATCTCCAAGGCCATGCCTATGCTTTGTGCAAAAGCATTCATCTTATAGTTAAATGCTTGAGCAAAACAATGCTCATTACCTCCACAAGCCTAGCAAAGCTAAGAATATTTGCTTTTAAAGACTGATGTGCAGTGAGAGCACCAGAGGATCAGGAAGCCAAATTAACCTCTGTCATCCTAAAGCACCAGAAGTGAGCGAGGCAGGGCCCTGAGAGTAATCATATACCCAGTGTGTTTTATGCATATGATCAACAGTGGGAAGAGCAACGTGGGCGAGCGGGCAAGGGTTGTTATGTGGCATGTGAGCCTTGATGCTGAATGCAGGCCCTGCTGTCCTTCGAGGTCCGTGGCAGGCATCGATGCCGCTCTCAACTGCGCTCGGGAGGGGAGGGAATGGCGCAGGCCTGTCGTCCTCCATAGTTCTTAGTCGTTGACTTTGAAGTCTTTTGTATAAGAATAATGCATATCTACTGGCCTGGTAAGCCTGTGGCAGGTTCATGTCCCTCTGTATCGCCCAACAAAAAATCTGAAGTCTTTGCTTGCGAGATGCGAGTGTGAAAAGTGTGCGGCCGTGGGGAGTGTGCAGGCTGTGAAAATACACAAGCTTTGCAGCTGACCTCTGTTGCCTGTGTCCTTGCAGAGCCTGGCCGTGTCATGCTGCGTGTGCATAATGCCAATCTCTTTCACAGCAGCTGGTTAACTTTGCTGAAAATACATATATTCCACTTTTTTCTAGCCCTGAGGTTTCGATATGCAGCATCAGCCTCCATATGCAGACAGAGTGAGGTCTGTGACTCGGTTTCCAAGGTTGGGTGGTTATCAGATAAGAGATGCTATTTCCCTCTGTTTCCTCTCCTGAGTGTCACATCAATCTCCGGGAACGTGCCTGAGCGGAGCGTCGCGGCGCGTGCGTGTTTCTCTCCCTTCCCTGCCCCTCGGTGTCGGGCGCTGATCGCAGTTTGTGTGCTGACGGGCCCAGCGGTGTTGCTTGGATACCGAGAGGGGCCGCGCTGCGTCGCGCGGCCTCTGCGAGCCTTCCTTCAAAGGCCGGCTCGCGCGGAGCCGCTTAGCAAGATGTCGCTTTAATTGAGCTGCTTGCCGGCTCGTGCCGTTAGCTTTTACCGTGCATCTTACTATAAAATGCTCCCGTAATCCTTCTTGGTGCAGGATTAAGTGCTGCATAACTGCTTTCGCACTAGATGCGTCTTGAACCATTTCTATATTGCCGTGGGTTAAATACGGAGCTACCTTTTCTGTGTGTGCCAAGGGAGCTGCTATTACAAGATTACTAAATGCTTGTAAAAATCTTGTAGTGTTAGATATGGATCTCCTGCTCTGTGTGACTGTGCAGGCTTTGCGTGTCTCCGCTTACATGGTCTGCTCATCGGTGCCTAACCGGGGGCAGTCCTCCTGCCGTCTTCTCCAGGGTGTTCCTTTGTTCGGTTGCAAATCAGCGGAGTAATGGTGCATTCACCGCCGGGGTGCAGGATCGAAACTACTTATGTCAAGAAAAGGAACAGTGAACCAAAAGGCGCCGAGGGAATTTTACTCATACTATACCCACTTTATTGAAGTAAGGAGAGCAAAATGTTGGAGGAGGAAGGGGCATTGGTGCATCCGCCCTCGGGGAGCCTCATGCAGCGTGGTCTGTGACAGATGAGTGTAACTTGCTGTCATCAACCCAAGTGCGCCCATCCCAGTTCATGTAAGGTGACAGTCAGGTGACAGACAGTGTGTTAGAAGACCTCCTCCCACTGAGTAATGTCATTAAATGAGGAGGAATAGAGCAATACGGAAGTGGCTTTGAAGGGAAGAGGTGATTTAGTAGCTTCTGTATTGCGCCTTCGGTGCATTTTATCAGTGCATGGTATTTATCACTGCTGGAGTCCCATGCTCACCCTGATTCTCTTGCCTGGTGGAGACCTCGCTTGCTTGGGAGTAAGTGGTTTTTAGTGTGAGAGAGTTCCTTGGATCTTGATACTCCTGGACTCTGCAGGAGCTACAATGTGAATCCAGACTGAGGCTTGAAACTTTTCTGAGTGTTTATGTCTGGCAGTCAAAGGCTCTCTGATATTGCCAGAAGTTCCTTGGTGGTTTTTAAAAAATAGCTCCTCTGTGTTTGCTGAAGCTTGAAGCTTTATCAGACAACTGTGAAGTGTGAGGTTCATCTTCTTCCAGATCCCCCGCATTCTGAGCTAGCAGCTTCAGCTCTGCTAGCCTAAATAAAGCTGTGCCCTCTCTCATCCTCAGCCTGCTTTCATCCCCTTGACTTCTAGTGAAGGGTGTGTGGGGTGATGCAGCTTGCTGTGGTGTTCAGAGGGCCTGCTTGGCCTTTCCTTGCTTGGGGAATGGCAAGAGGACAGGAACAGCCTGTGCTTTTCTGTGCTGGACTCAGCCAGACTTCATCGGGAAGGTTCCTGCACGTGTCCCTCCATAAGCCTCCCAAGTCCCTCCGTATGACAAGAAGCATCACTGCATTGTCTGGTTTTGATTAAACAGGGGACATTTTTAAACCAGTATGGAGTTGAATAGCACAAGTGGTGTAAGGAGGGTTCATCTGCTTGATACCAGGTTCATCGGACTTTGGTTAATGAGACAGAGTAGGGTTTTTAGTGAAAACACAGTTACCCCAGAAACTGTCAGGGGAAATGCTTGCTGGTGTTGCAGCTGGCAGAGAACTACTTGTAGGTTGGGGTACTAGAGATAACTAGGGGCTTAAACACACTTGGGGAATTGCTGTTGACTGGCTGCTCTGATCAGACAGCTGATGTTGGTGCCTACCTCAAATCTGAGGTTGAGTCGAGCTGTTCCTGGCTCTGTGGCCTCACTGTACACTGACTTGGGCATTTCTTCCCCCACACAGCTGTAAGAAATACTCTCTCCCCCATCCCCTACTGTTCTTGCCTTTGCCGTGGGGCTGCTCTGCCCCTTGGGGTGCCAGGCAAGGGGGAGCGGTGCTCTCTCCTGGTGCCCTGCTGCCTGGGCCCTCCTGGCTGGCAGCTCTGGCACGACTTGCTGCTGGCTCCTGTCATGGGCAGGACTCGGTGCCAACAGGGCAATAGGCAGGGGAATCCCCCTGGGTGGGCACAAGAGTTGTCTCCTGCATCCTGGCCCTCTGAGAAGGCACACTGCTTGGAGACAGCACGCGTCCCTTAGCCTGCCACTGGTGTCCCCCATGTGCAGTCAGTGGGTCTGCGCGGCAGTGGTGCTATTTTTGCCCCTTGTGTTTACGCGGTGTAGGAGCTGGTTTAGACGCAGGCCCTTACAAGTGTCTGCCCCCATCATGTCCAGCTGGCTGCGGGTCTTCGCCGCAGTGCGAAACCGCCGGCAGGAAGTAAGCGGAGCTCGCGTAGCCGTAGAAAGGCAGCTGCTGCCGTGTGGATGCTGTCAGCTGTTACAACCACTTCCAGAAATGTCAGTGTTCACGGCCCAGAGCCACAGTGCTGGCACATACAGCTTCTTCTCAGATTATTTACCTAAAAAAGCAAATAGAGATGGAAGTTTTCCCTATAAAGGCTTCTGCTAGGAAGTAAACAAGGTCAAGGAGTTAGAGCTTCTATTCTGACCAGGAACAGCTCTCTGCCCTTCAGTGTGATCACATTGGTACATATTGCCTGTTGGTACAGACTGGGTTGTGGAGTAATCCTGAAACTTATGTTGGACTTTTTCAGGTAAATTACATCTTCCAAAATGTTTTTAAAAACACCACCAAAAACCTCAGAAGAGCTGTCTGTAAAGCACTGGTTGAGTCACTGTGGGGCTGTGCAGATTGAAAAGGCACAGCTACAACCTGTTTCTGCTCCAGGGTGCTAAAAGTAACTGGTTGACTCCCGGTCTGCTGCTTGTGGAGCCTAACTCAGCCAACTTTCCCATTTGCTTTTGTAGTGACTAGGGCTACTGCTCCTTTTTTACTCCACTGCCCAGGAAAATCCATGTAGTGGCCAGGGTGCTGGTTTTGTATCCCAAGTCTGTCTTGTATTTGAGTCTGGGATCTGAATGTCCTCAAAGATGAAAACTGGTAAGATGTCTAAGTCAAGAAGTTGGTTTTGAGGTTTTCCTGCTGTGTGCTTATCAAAACCAAGGATGCTTGAAAATAAATCTTCTTAAAATAGCAACAAGCACCATCTGCACCCCGATCCTGCCAAACCCCTAGCATGGGGTTCGCTTGGCAAGTAGAACAAACCTGGAGCATGGTGGTGGGCTACACGGGATGAACTAACATATTAGTACAGCATGTGGCAAGGTCAAGCATCCAAAATAGCAGCTCATCTTTGCTGTGTGGTTTAACATTGATTCCCATGGTCTCAGTGGCGATCTCGGGTGAAAGGTGCAATAGGGCAGAATTGCAGCTGTAAATGGAAGTGTGTTAGGAAGGTCCTTGGGATTCAGATCCCAATCCCATTCACCTTGACATTATACTGGATGAGGATTGCTAGAGTGAAGAGCAGGAGTCTGAGCTGAAAGGTTGCCCTAAGGTGCATCTAAGGAAACACACAACTTCAGTGCACTTGGAATTGGCTTTCAGAGCTGTAGGGGCATGGCGTGGAACAGGGCACTGGGCTCTCTGCAGGCTGCTGGCAGTGCTGGTGCATTTGAGAGAGACTGCTTGTTATGGAGCCAGGCTGTGTGATGCCATGATGATGACTGTCACCTGCTAATGTTGCGTGTTCTGCATGCAATTCCTCTCCGATGTGGTGTTTTCAAAATTGATCTCCTGGGTAGGAGAGCAGGCTCCATCAGTTACCTAAACCTTGCGGCCTTGGCTAGTGGGTGCTGATGTATTCCATCCTTTGAGATGGAAATGCTGAATGACTGGTGTGATGCTGCAGAAGAGCTTGGGGTCGGGGTGGATTGGGGAGTTTGAGGGATGGGGACAGGCTCTTGCTCCTGTGCTTATGGTGTCCAGATGAAGCTCCAGGTATAGTCCTCTCTGTTTCCTGGCATAAGGGAGTTGGGGGAGAGGAGGCACATCGGGACGGGGAGGTGGAAGACGATGTCCCTGTGGGGCGGTCTCTGAGGAGCCTGGCATCTGCCAGAGCTGATTCTTTTCTGCTGCCCAGCCCGGAGGGACAGGCTGGGGAAGCTGCTTTGATTTATGCGAAGGCCCAGAATCTGGAGGCCACAGGGCTGCCTTTAAAGCTGCTTTTGCCCTTTCCCGTTCTGCTCTGCTTTTCTATCGTGGCACGTAATGTACTCCCTGACTCGCAGTCCTGCAGTCACAGTCCTAGCTCAAAATCATGATCACAGCTGTGGTGCTGGTGTGTCATTGCCTTTTGTTTGCTACAATACAGTTCCCCTTGGGTGAAACAGAAAAGAAATAATAAGGAAAGATCTGATGTTCTTTTCCAGGCCATTTCCTGTGTATTTCATCTCGGGTGGAGGCTCTCATTAACTAGTCACTTAGCAGAAGCACCCTGTACCTAAAGGTTAATTTCCGTGGTGGTTGTTGCTGGGTTGTTTGATGGTGGGTAATTTTCTCCCTCAGAAGACTTACTCCTACCCAGTATTTAATGAGATTAAATTGCAGCCTCTCCAAGACCTTGTGGCAGAAGTGTGTGTATGTGTGGCAGGTGGCCACAAAAGCTTTGTGTGGACTTAAGAGAAAGGTAGTTGGAGCATGGAGAGAAAAACCCTTTATTATTAAAGAGAAAAATAGTGGTGATGTTTGAAAGCTTCATAGGTATTAATAGAAGACATTGCTTTTTCAGTTACACAGAATAATAAATACAATGAGGAGCTTCCACAAGAATTCATCCATAGGACAGAAGTTATTGTAATCTGACTTTGATATATACAGGATGTTCCTTTAAGGCCTGGAGCAGGGTGGCCTTCTAAATGAGGTGACTGGGCTGATTTTTTTTCAGTGGGTATAATGGTGTAGTGCCTTATTCTGACCTTGCAGAGTGTTTGTAATCTTCAATTTTACTAATGATGTATAGGATTTATTTATTGTTTTTGGTGGAGTTGGTTCTGATGCAACAGATTCAGCAAGACCACTGAGGACAATAGAGTTATTTCTTGTTTCTAACTGGTGCCTAGCATTCCTGTTTGATGTAGATGGGCCAGCAGATCTGCAAAGGAGGCTGTATGTAACCTTGGCTTGGTGAGTTGTCTGTGTATTGCCGTGAGATCTGTGCTCTGCCCTGTGCACTTGTTCAGATTTACTCTTGAGCAGATACTGAAGTGTGAGGCCCACAGCACTGTTTGTTCCTGCGCCTTCTAATGCGTTTCTCACAACTGTTAAAGCTTATGACACTGAGCTGAACGTATTTGACACTGAACACAGATGCTTAGCTGTGGTTGTCCTGGAGATGTGGCCAGAGGGCATGTGGGTTTTTTTTATTTGTTTGTTTTAAATCAGTGCTTTTGACCTCAGATTCTAGGTGTCTTTCAGGAATCTCAGTACTGCATTCCTGAGCTGTGCTCACCTTGGCTAAAGAGTCTGAAAGTGTGAGTTTGTGCAAGTGTCAGGTGAGTGATATACTTTTCTGAGAAATTGCTTTGGAAATGGGTGAGGGCCACATTTGGGTGCTTTTTCTGCATCTCTGTACAAAAAAAAGTGAAATGCAGAGCGCTGTTGGGGGAGCAGAATCAAATCTAGGAATGTGGTACTGGTGCTGTGGTAAGGTCTCAGGTTGGGCAGAATCAGAACTGTGGTGTTTATTTCTTTATTTTTTATGGTGTATATTCTGCTTGTCAGACATCTCTTGTCTTTCAGAGACTTGTGGTTGGTGTCACAGAGCTGGTGGAGCCACAGGGAGTGCAGCAGGGCTGTAGGGCCGTGCCTGAGGCTTTGGGCCTGGGTCCCGGGGTGAGCGCCGCGGCTGCTCGCGCTGAAGCAGCAGCCGGGTTCGTCCTCGCTGGTCCTGGCTCAGAGCCCCGAGCAGTTGCCAGAAAGCCCGGCTGTCCGTGTTCACGTGGCATGGGAGTAGGGCAGGTGCCAAGTCACGGCTGCTGGTGTCATGAGAGGGGAAGCAACAGCGTGTGGGCTCTGCCATCTCCGCGGCCCTGACCTTGGAAGGGAAAGCAGCCTGCTGCCTGGAGAGCTGGGGAATCCTCTTGGAACGAAGCAGGTCCCAGCTGTCTGTGTGGATTAACAGCAGGGAGCCGCAGGAAACGTAAGCGTTGACGCAAACTGACTTACGTGAGGGAGCGTGAGCCTCTCCTCCTGCCTTTTCAAGAGGCTCCGTGGTCCCGAGGAATGGTTGGAGCCCTACGTGTAGTTCCCAGCCAAGATCATGTAATATTCCCTTACAAGTATTGGTCCCTGCACTTCTCATGTGGTGCCTTTGAAATAGCTGGCTAGAGATTTAGGAACAAACTCTGTGGCTGGGTTGATTCTTGTTTGCTTATTAACATCTGTGCCTAGCTGTGGGTACGTATCTGGAGAAAAATGGGGACCTGGGAGCTCTTCTTGACTGTGTCCCAGCAGTGGGTTACAAGTACAACATGCAAAGATGTTCTCCTGTATCAGGAGCTGCCAAGCCAAGTGCCCATGTACACATTAAAAGCTAGAACTTGTCCTGGAGAAGAACGGGTTTTGACCTGTGGTACTGTTTGAAGGCTGCAGGGAGGTGTGAAAGTGTGAATACCAACAACCTGAGCCATACCAAGTTCCAATGTGAAACCTAGAGAAACACCATTCCCTTTTGGAGGCAAAGCAATTTGGGATTGGTATCAAATAGGGGGATTCCCAAGGATCGGGGGGTTCTCCTCTCTCTGCTGGCATCCTAAACTGACCACTTTTCCCTTCTACCCTCCTCCGTTAACATAGGTAAGAGTCAGGCCCATTCCTGGCTGAATAATTGCATCTGATTGTCCCAATAGTAATAAGGGGTATTAGTGATGTTTACTGTTCCTGTGGCACTGAGGGGATGAATTCATCTCTGTAAGAAAGCATGGACCCCGGCAGTCAAAACTTCTAAAAATGTCTTACAGACGTAATTGTTTTGTGCCCTTCTCAAACTTCTTGTTTCCTTGACATAGTGCGTGCCAGATACTTAACGAATGGGCAGCCCTCTGTGGAACGATTCCCCATCAGCTTTAAAACCCACTTCTCAGGGAACTATTTTCATCATGTGGTGCTTGGGATTTACTGCAATGGCCGGTATGGCTCACTGGGCATGAGCAGGCGATCAGATTTGATGGACAAACCTTTAACTTACCGAACTCTGAGTGACCTCATCTTTGAATTTGAAGACTCTTATAAAAAGTACTTGCATTCAGTGAAAAAAGTAAAAATTGGATTATATGTCCCGCATGAGCCGCACAGCTTTCAGCCCATCGAGTGGAAACAGCTGGTCCTCAATGTATCCAAGATGATGCGCACAGATGTCAGGAAGGAGCTGGAGAAGTTTGCTAGGGATATGCGAATGAAGGTAGGTCCATGGGTCTGGGCAGCAATTTCCTCACCGTGTGCTTTGCCTGATCCTGCCACGGTTGCTTGGGCTCCATTTCAACAGGCGGATCCTGGTCCAGGTGAGACTAAAATGCATCAGGTGGGCTGGGGTTGTGCTTAAATCTATTTTGGAGTTTCTACACTCCAGTGTGTCTTCAAGCACTGTTAAGTAACTTTTTTTTTTTCTTACTCTAAGACTTCTCCTTCAGTTTAAGAACATGAGCACTATAACTGTCCCTGGTGCAAGGAGCTAATGCACGAGTCATTGGTGCTATGTCTGGAAGAAGGTGGGCAGGAAGAACGAGGGCTATCTCCCATTCCCTTTTTGCTCCCCCAAATAAGGCTTCTTTTGGGCTTCTCCTCTGCTGAAGGGATGAGTTTGTCCTTGGGGGGAGCAGACAAAGGAAGGTAGCGCAGCTGGGTAGCTGTGGTGGCAGTGTGGGTGGATGCTGCAGAGGTTTTTGTACTGCTCCACACTCCAAACTAGGCCAGCAGAGCATTAGCAAGTGGTGGCTCCTGAGGCAGAGGAAAGGCAGCCCTTTTCTCTATCCGATTAGCAATGCAAAATTAATTCTGCAGAGGAGTCGCACTTAAAATGTGATAAGCAACCATCCACCGGGCATGAGAAGCACGTGTTGTGGTGGTGGGTGGCTTCTCCTGGAGTGTGCTGCTGGGTCACCCATTTGCTGCATGCATCCCACCATCTGTGGGCAGCGGCTGTTCCCGGGCTAAATTGGGAAGTCAGTTAAATGGAAAGGGTGAAGAAAATGAGCCCTTAGAAGGCTTGTGCTTCCCTGCTGGCTGGTCAGTCTGAATGGCCTGGAGGGGAAACGTGGGTGAGCTGCCACCCTTTTTGAGGATTTGGCTTCTGCTCCTGACCCTGTCTCAAGGACTGGTGTGAGCGGGGAGCTGGTTTCAGTTGCAGTGAAATGGGATTTGATGCCTTTCCAGCCATCTGTTGGCAGTTGGAGCAGAGCAGGTGTACTCGCCAAGTATGGGGCTGGATGGGCTGTGGAGTTATGTGGAATCAGGTCCAAGTTATTTTGGGTTCCTGCTCCCTGCTCTGCTGAGGAATGGCCCGTATTCATCAGCTGTGTGTGGATTTTGGGGAAGGTTAAGGGACCCGGCCCTGAGCTTGGGGTGGGAGGGCTGCCTGAGCAGTCTGGCTGGCATCTGCAGCCCCTGTTGCCGCCACCCCCAGCCTGGCCATGGAGTTTTGAACGATGAGGAAGGTGTGAGGTGACCTTCATTCTCAGCCACTTGCACACGCCAGGTGCCAGCAGGAGTTGGAGGTTCCTCGGGGTGAAGGGGGCTGTCCGTTACAGCTTGGATGTACCAAGACTCCACACATGCTGAGGGCTCATGTTTTAAGCATGAAATCACTTGTTGCAGTTGAGGGGGGAAGCTTCTCTGTGGGCGTGGGGACACACAGAGGGCAGCGAGGTGCCCGCCAGGCCTCGTGGCAGCAGGGGAGCCTGAGGTCACAGCAGGTCCAGCCTGGCAGCGGTGCCACTGTAGAGGCTGATGCCCCAGTGGCCAAGGTGGTGCTGCTGGTGAGAGGCCATTGGGCAACATGGCCAGCGTGGACCGGGATCCATACTACACTGTGCTGTGTGGTAATCTAAGCAAATGTGCTCAAACATATGTGTAATAAAGCTTTTTTTCCCCCACTTTCCTATCTATTAATGTACTTTCAGTTCCATTTAGAGAGTGAACAGCTAAAGGGGGGTCTAGTCAGATAGGTGCGTGTGGAAGGAGAACTTACTGAAGTAGTTGCCTGTGGTGGAAGGATGAGCTCTGTGTTTGTGCTGAGGTGTGATGTTGAATCCCACCCTTGCCAGTGTCTCAAAAAGTCAGGACTGAGGCTCTGAACTGCCTCTAATTTTGCACATATAAATTGGTCCTTAATGCAGTCCTGGCCCTACTGACGTTGGCCACAACAGTTCCCTTGGGTTAGATCAGAATTTGGGCTATTTCATTCAGCATGCTCAGATTGTGAGGGTGCTGGTTTTAAAACATTAAGTCTTTAAAAATAGCCCAGAATATGAATGCTATGCTGACGGACTTCTGAGCTTTGAGTAACGGGACTGCAGAAAAATGTGTGAATGGATATGAGACTATTAAGAGCTCCCAGTCCCAGAGAATTAACCACCTGCCTTACAGACAAATGGCCTTTGCATGTAGAGGGAGAAGTTGGAGAATGAAATTTGCCTGCATAAGACCCCTTCAGCTGAGGGTCAAAGCAGTTTCTTGTCCCTTGCTGTTGCCAGCCCTGAAGAAATACATGTTGTCTGTGTGGGGCTTGTGCGTGTGTGGGTTTTATTTACATATATTTATATATAAATATATACACACACACATATATATGTATATACACACACATCTATCTATATAGGGACTTATTTAGCTGGGTACTGAATTATTGACACCAAACAATTTTTGGAAGGGGTCCCTGAACAGCTATCACGTGATATCAGTACCTCTTAACTGATAAGTTTTAAGTACTTAGGTAGGGTTTGAGGGGAGGGGGGGAAAAGAGATGACAACAACAACAAACGCAAGGGACTAAAAGTTCTTTGTGTGCCATCTCTGGTACTGTATCAATCTTGTTTAACTTATTTAAATGAATCGCTGCTGTCACTGAGTGGCGTTTTCTTCCCTCCCCCATCTCTTGCAGATTCTGAAACCCTCAAGTGCCCACTCTCCAGTCAAAGAGAGATCTCGGGGCAAGTCGCTGTCCCCTCGCCGGAGGCAGGCCAGCCCTCAGCGACGGCCCTGCAGAAGAGACAAATCGTGAGTATTCCTGCCCTCTTGGTGCTGCCGTAACTAGCTCAAAACTTGAAGGTGATGCCATTATTTTACTGTTCAAAACTTGCTTATGCTCAATAGCCAGTATAGGAAGAGTGCAATGAGTATCGTGGTTACCTGGGAAGCTCTAGAAATCACTACTGCTAATGTCCTGGTGTTGCTGGGTTTCTTACTTTCCTGCTGCCTGGCTGCTTTCCTGTGCAGTGACCTCAGAGGCCTGGATGGGCTCTTTTCCATCTGACTCTGCTTGGCATTGGATGACTGTGGAAATGTGTTTCTTTTTTTATTTGTTCTGGAGAAACTAAGAAGCTAGGCTGGGGTGTAGGAGACCTTCACAGAAAAGAAAGTAGCATGATCACGCTTAAGGGTGTTCAAAGGTAGGTAAAAAATAGTAGATCCTATCCCCTTGTGATGGTGGGGTCTCCTTGTCATCATGGTCACTCAGATAAAAATTGACTTCTCTGTGATTAACTCTAGTATTAGGTTGTTCTGCTGATGTAGCAGTTCTTACTGTGAACTGCCAAGCTTGCAGAGAATATGGAAAAAATAAGTCTTTTATTGCCAAGGCAGAAATACGACTGACTTTGGATACTGAGATTTTTTTTTGAGTGGTTTAAGAAACAGACCACCTTGACCATATATAGTATGTAATTAATTGTTTCCCTTTTACAGTGCAGGGAAGGACTGGCTAACTGCATGTGACACCTCCAAATGGATAAAATTAGGCCTTCGGGTCACGGGCTTTCTACAGGCGCCAGCAATTCAGGCCTCACGCCGCTCCAGCTGCGCGCGTCGTGCCAGAAGGCTGACCCTGGTGAAAGCCTATACGTGACCCAGATTAGTCACATATTTATGGTCATCACTTTTTAAACAGGCTCCCAGAGTTCTGTCTCAGCACTTATTTTAAAGTAGCTAACAAAGATATGAGACTGGTTTTCTAAAGATAACTTTAAGATACTTCAGCAGCAGATGATTTCGCAGCAGGCTTTTATTTTTCCATGTGACTTCATACCAAGTCTCCAATACTATACTTGAAGCCTATCACTGAGAGCTCCTTGTTTAGTGTGTGGATGGTTATAGCTGTAATAGGCCCTGCTGCTTCAGTTTCCTTACCTCTTAGAGCCTCATTGAGGGAGCGTTTTTCCTTTTGAGTTTCTGCTGCTGTTTAGGCAGTTGCTGGAGTGAATCACACACATTTGGAGAGAAGAGCAAATCTTGCTGGGCCTGGAAAGACGAGCCAGTTGAGGTGGCTTTAAGGGAACTGTGTGGTCACTCAAGCTGTTGGCTGCCTCTTGGCTACTTTGCTTTTACATTTTACATTAGAGAAGGATAAGAAAAGTTTAAGTAGCCTCCCTGGCGCTGTGCAATGGTTTTGGCAATTCAAATTAGGCAGGCTGCTGTATCTCCAGCATCCCCTCAGAGTTGTTTTGGGAATGGCCATGCAAATAGTCCTTGTTTTGGGGCTGTCTGGTGGCTTAAAGTCTCCCTGTTTACCCTATGGGGTGCTCTGGCAAAAAGACTGCCTTGATCATGGGAATACTTGAGCCTTGACCTCCTTGTGCCTCTCGTTATCTGTCTATGGAATTGTCTGGTGCTCAGCAAGATGGAGCTCTCTGCATGGCTGCACTTTCTAATTGTTACTGCTATAGGAAGAGTTGTTTGAGGCTAAAACACAAAGCTTGTGCCTGACAAATCAGCTTTATGTTGCTGCTGCTTAGCTGTGTGAACACTGGTGAGTTGTTACCTGTCTGTGCTGCAGCTTGCTACCCTAAGATAGGGATGACCTATATTCATCTGCAGGGCACAGAATGAGGCTGTTTGTAAAGCATTTTAAGAAACAGAGTGGGAAAATGTCTCGTGTTAGTCTCAAATTGGCCTTTAATTAGAGTTTGTCGGCTTGCTTGGAGTGGTGTCTCTAAGGGGTATTATAAAATTCCAAGCAGGGAAAACCTGAGGCATTTTTATTTACTTTCTCCTCCTCTTTAGGGAATAAATTCTCCTTTTATATGACTCTTCACTGAATAGCTAATGAGCAGAGGGATCTGTGTTCTGCATCTCCCTTGACCCACCTCAGTGCTGCTGCTGTGATGATCTGCCTGTGGGGCAGCAAGCGTTCAAAGCTGGGTCCTGGGTGGAAGTCACAGCAGGGCGCAGCGGGGCTGCTGCTCTCAGACACTTGCAGAGCAGTGAGGTGTCTGGGGCATTTATTTTTGTAGCTGCATACACCAAAGTCAATGGCTATTGTAGCATCCAGTTGTCTTTGCATTTTGAGAAGGTGATTGGAGTTGTTTGCCTGCTAGCTTGATCACAAGAAGAAAAACTTCTGTGCTGCCAGTTGTACCCTGGTCTGTATCCTAACACTGTGACTTAGGATATTTAATCTGCTGACGTGAAGGGGTCAGCAGCGGGAAGGTGCTGCGCTGTGGAGGAGGCCGGTCAGCACCGTGTGGTGTGGAGACCCCGGGGGTGCTGTCCGAGCAGGGCCAACGCGCGGTCTGTAGGCACGGGCAAGGCGCTCGTAACACTGTGGGGAGTGGGAGTCCCGGCCCTGGTAGCAAAGGGGTGAGTTTAGAACTTGTCTAACACAGGCAGCTCTGGACTAGGGTGCATATGCAAGCCTGGGAACTGCAGGTGTTGGATTCAGGTGCCAAGCTCCTCACAATTGCCCCAGCCCTTTCAACACTTCAGTTAGAAAAGGTTGCGTGAAACGACAGTTCTTTTGGTAGCTAAATTTTGTTGATACTTGAGAATGAGTCACTGAAGGCCTTTGAAAGATAGTTTGATACTGAAGAAATGCAAAACATGCATGTCCCTTCCTAGAGCGCCTAGCTCCCCCTGGTCCCAGGGACATTGGGGATATAGGCACCTAGTGGGGTTTTCCAGGGGCCTTTTTTAGTGATGAGGTACTTTGAATCTCGCCATAGGAGCAGCAGTGTGTTCTGTGTGGGCAATTTAGTCACGCTAAAACTCACTGCTGTAAAAGTGATATCAGAGAAAACTGGTTTCTTGATGTCAAAATGGTGCTTCTGAGTGCACTGGCCAGTGGTGTTGGCAGCTTGAGGGCTGGCTGTGCCTTTTGTCCTGGCCGGAGTGACCCTGCAGCCAGTGGGGAGTTTCCTGCTGGTGACGCAACCCCTTCATTTCCAAAATTAGGTTTCTACTGGTGTCTGCCCACTGCTGTGGGAGGCCTCTGAGGTCTGAAGGGGCAAACGCATGCAGAGGTGACCGAGCGAGGCACACCAAGCAGCAGCTGACAGTGGGGGAGAAAGAAGAGGCAAAATTGGGCATTTTCTTCGGTGTGTTGATGGGATCCTTGAGACCCTAATTGCGGTGAGAGGCCTTTGTGTTGTGCAAAGAAAAGGAAAGACTTCTAGATAAGACTTTTTGAGGTCCTTTTTGAATCCTTTGAGGACTTTTTGAATCCTCTGCTAAGTAACAGTAGTGCTTTTGACACTGCATTTTGTCTCTTTGTGAATCTTATTTGCATGCTCTAATTATAGCTTATTAGCGCTTACATGGGAGGGGGAGAGAAGCTTTTTGCACTAGTGTGAGCAGGTGAGGAAGGGCTCAGGGGATTCACCTGCCGATGTCAAGCTGTTGTAATACAGCCTCCTTTCTGTCAATAATAAACTATATGGGCCTCCTGGGGAGGATTCCTTGTGAAAAATACTTGGGATTCATCATGGTGAACAGTAATGGCTTTGCTGGCTGCTTTTTCTGGAGGACGGGGGCTAAAGCAAGGCTTGGGGGCGTAGCGGCTTTTGCTGGCTCAGCCCTTTAGCTGGTCGTGCTGGTTCCTTGCTGGCCCTGTTGCACAAGTGCCTGTGGTGGCGGCTGGAGCGCCTGCGGCCGCGGGGGGGCCCTGCGGGTGACGCCAGGCAGGCGGCGCAGGGGGAGAGTCCTCGTCTCATCCCCGTGCAAAACCACCAGAATACAGGTAGCTCGGGAATGCCAGGCCCTGAGCAGCAACAAGCCACGTTATTCTGCACCTCTGCTGCCATGGGGCTGCACTAGCTGCTACCTTGGAGCTTGTGGTGTTGTATTCAGACTTCAAATAGCAGTTGGCACCCACCTCACTCTGTAACTGACGGAATGGGTATCTCTGCTTATTCTGTTGTTTGTTAGCAAACTGCCTAACCCCTTAAAGAGGAGAATTATGATCTAGGCTTTTAGAACAAAATCCTTCCTAATTCGTTCTGAGCACAGTTACAAGTGAAATATAATAAGGTTAGATTAGGCATAAGAATTCCTCATTATGTGGCTCAGCTGAAATGATACTATGGAGAAGAATCTCCCCAGCTGTTTTCTACAGAAAATCACTTTATGAAACAAAGCAAGCATTAAAATCAAATTTTAATTAGCACTTTCCTGCAAATGCTTCATATTGAATGTGTAGCTACAGGGTATCTTGCAGGATGAGGGGCAATGAGCTGTGCGTGCCCCCTAAGAGACCAATGTGACATCAACTTAGAGCAGCTCATTGCGGAGCTGTGCCTCGCATCACCTTTTACAATGTCCACTTGCCCATCATCTCTTCTCCCCCAAGGTAGGAGGGGGCAATATGCTGCAGGCCACAGTGCTGGGATGGGCAAAGCAGCGGTTTGTTCAGTAGGAGCCGCTGGAGCCAGAGGAGTCTTGAGTTAACCCAAGTTTGGGAGGGATGGTGATGTGACAGCCTGAAGCAATTTCTGCTCCTAAATGCCAGCCCACCTGAGGTATTTCCTCTTCACTTCAACACTGGAGGCTTAATGCACGTGTGCTCTGTGAACGAATACTGGCTTGTACCCTTCTGGCCTTGTTTAGCTGAGGAGAAGCAGTTTGGAGTTGCTAGCTCTATTAACACCATGTATTCTGCTATGGAAAGGGAGTCCAAACCGGCAGCCCCTGTGTGCTGTGTACCAAGCAGCTGTTGGCAGCTTCAGATGCTCCTCATGGCACTTTGGGCAGGAGGTGCAGCCTGGACCTCTCTGCCAGCACAGCGCTTACCCATATCACACATAGGGACAACCACAGCATGGTTGTAACCTTAGTCACTTAGCAGGGGACATTCTGCTTGGGGTCACTGCCCTGCCAAGGAGGAAGAGGCTGTGAAGTCTCCACTCTAAATTACCTCACCAAGGTGTCCTTGGGTGCAATCCCTTCCTGCAGGCAAGGTGCAGAGCTTAGTTAACCAAAGAAGTCTGTAGTAGTTAAGCTGAGTAATAGGCCGGTGGCCCGCAGCCACTGCTGCCGGAGTGGGGCAGGCTGCTCGGATGGAGGAGTTAAATGCTGGCTTTGCTTGCGCCAATTCGTAGGTTGCATCTACTGCACAGTGGGTGAAGACAGCCTAAGTGCTGGAAAAACAGGTCTAAAGAGCTATAGGAGAGGAGGGCACCAGAGCACCTACCAACTTCACATTTTACTAGTTGGGCTGTAACTTTTTGTAGTGAAGTGATACTGGGAGAACCTGTTCATAGGGCTTAGTGTGAAAATAGCAGAAAGCCTGGAATAAACCTACAGGTTAGACACCTCCACTGGCTATAAATCATGGGCATTATTTAGCTTTATTAACTCTGCAGGGCTTCTTCCATTACTTGCTCAACAGGGAGACTGCCAGCTCCAAAGGTTTCATTTGCTTAAGGTTGTTAATATACTTTAATGACCTAATAGTATATATGGAGGTATATATTCACATCCCTGCCTTTGGCTGGCATGACTTGTTCTGCGGGGGTGCTTGGCTTCAGAGGGAACCTACATGACTAGGTTACATAATGCTTGGCTGCATTGAAGGAAATTCAGGAAGCTCTGCTTATTTGAGGTTAGAAAATGAGACCTTTACAGGCCGGTTTTGAAGTAAACTGGTCCTGTCCTACACCTGTAGCATCCCAGCAGTGTCAGGTCGCTGCTGAGCTCTTCCCTGCTTCGCTTGCAGGCCTGCGGTGGTGGACAAGAAGGCAGATCTGGCGACGCTCAACGAGGTGGGTTATCAGCTCCGCATCTAGCGAAGCCCCGGCTGGGCAGGGGCTTCCTCAGTGCTTCCCACGGCACTTCACCTGCACACCAGTGGAAGGAAGAAGGAATGGGACTAACTATTAGCTCGTGGACCTTTTAATTAAAGTTGTACCAGAAAACAGAACACAGGAAACATGGTTTTCTGTGGTTTTTTTTGGTGGCAATATTTATTTTCTTTCAATTCATGGAAATGGCATCAGTAAAGAAAACCTAAAATTATGCTTACCAGGAGATGGGATTTTTTTCTTCCATCATGCAGGCAGTGGCCCCAGTGGTACATGGGTTTAGGTATAATTTCTTTTATTTTTTTCTTAAGTTTTAAATGAACTTGGGCACTGTGCTGGGTGGTAGCACTAGGATGATTATGAAATCATTCTTAGTGCTAAGATGTGCTGAGGTGCAGTTTTTTTTTTTAAAAAAAACAAAACAAAATATGTTCAGTATTAATATTCAGCAATAAAAACAAGCAGTGCAGAAGTAGCGTGAGTTTTTGAAGTGTCAACATTACCTCACTAAACTTAATAGATATGCAAAACTGTCAGTATTATTGTTTTGTAACTAATTTCTACTGTCTCCTAGCATTTCTGGTAGTACTGAAACAGCACTGGATGCGCTCTGCCACCTGTATTACTCTTTTATGCATGTTGTTGAAAAAGGTTAAGGTATAATAATATGCAAGTGTATTCTTAAACATTGAATCTTATTATAAAAAAAGTTTTGTTTTTTAAATGATGATTGACCAATTTTTTTTTTTTAAAAAAGAACTTTCCTAGTTTTTTTATACTTTGTCACAAGCTTTTAGTCTTTCCAAACTACATTGATGAAGCACAAAACATGGAGACTGCTGTTTTATAGAGACAACAACTGTGTGCCAGTTTTTCTTGTACATGTTCTTGGAATAATGGAAAAAAAAATGTCAGAATTGCTACTTTGAATCTTTACATTTTTCTTTCAGTGCTTGTGTGTAACTAAGAACCTTGTCTTTGAAAGGCTGAGCAGCCTCACAGGTGATGTCTCGACATCTTATATTAAGATCAGATATCCCAGACTGAAGTTTTGCTTCCCCCATGCTACTTCAAGGAGTTCTTCCTCTGTATGTTACAGCAACACTTGCTTAGGCAGACTTGAGAAGAACATGTGTGTTGTTTGGGGCAAGTTCAGCACTAAACACGTTGTGTGTGGGAAGGAGCTCCAGCTCAAGCCTGTCTGCTTCCTCCCTGCTCTGGCCTTCCACCTAGGGAGGGGGGCTTGCCCCAGGGGTGGTAATGATGGCAGTGCCCAAGTGCCAGCGCAGGATCTTTATCAGGGGCCATGATTCACATTAAGGAAGTTCTCTGGACGTGTCTGAGTGAATTCCTGAAAACATTTCAGAAGGTGCCTAAATGGAAGCTGAATCTTTCTGAAAGTCCAGGCTCTCCCTCTTAGGCTGTGCTTATAGTTACAGCCTTGGGCCTCTGGTACCTCCTTTGCTGGGCTCTTAGGTATTGGTATCCCTGAGAAGACAGAGCCTCATAAAGCAGGGACAGCAACATGGGCTCAGGCTGAATGGGTGAAGCTCCTAGATGACCTCTTGGATCAGGCAAGGCTGAAGTGAACACAGAGGAGATGATAACCAGATAGCACAGACCTCAAGGAATCTCACTTGCTTTGGACAGGAAGACAACATGGAAAGCTGCTAACTGTTCAAACATTAAAACATTTTCCAGTAATTACACTTCAGAAGGCCAAACTAGACAGCAAACATCTCAAACCTATTATACTTCTTATGCTCAAGTTTTTATCAAATAGAGGGAGGCCTTTTTCCATCCCTTTTTCCTTAACCTTTCTCACTCCTCTTCACAATGAGATACTTTTCAGTCAGGGGTGAAGCTGAGGAAAAGAGGGACATACTCTTTTGACAGAAGTCCTATAATTTGACAGTAGCTGCAGAATTTCAGTTCTAACCTTTCTGCTGCTCAGTGTTTTGTAACCTAAACCTTTTTTCATGTATCCTGTAGATTTCTCATGAGTAAAATGACATATAAAATTGTTAAATCTTGATAAATGGTAGCAGTAAGCACCAGGTTATCTGATGCATTTTTTTTTCTATGAAATCATGGTTTACTTCAACTTAAGTAAGGGTGGTTGATATATAGCTTTTACCAGTATCCACAGCAATTGGAACTCTTATCTCTGAACCTCTGACTTATACTGAAACTTTTCTAAGCTGTAGAGCTGTGTGATAAACTACTGGAGTGGTTCTTGTTTTGATATTCCACTGAAATATTCTTATCTTCTCTTGAAATGTGCTTATGATGGCATTTGTCCTACCTGTGGTTCTAGTGACTTTTTTTTTCTAGTTCACTCCATTGTGGGTAAGTAGTAAGAAAAAAAAAAAAGAACTTGTGCATGACTGTTTTTGCCTTTTTTTTCTCTCTCTCTCATCACCTGTATGTTTATATACAGCATGAAACTTTAATAAACAATTATGGTAGTCGTTTTTTCTAAATGCCTGAGGATATTCTTTTAAACATTAGATGTTACACCATTATTCTCCAGATGTTAGTTTTTCAAATATTATCTGTAGTACTTCTTCAGCCTGCAGTCTTGATTCAAGACATGCCTGAGGGGAATCAACTGAAGCTGATTAATAGTATTAAATACCCCTCTCACCTACTCTTTACAATGTAAGCATTAAGCTTTAGCTAAGTCTTTATAGATTATGCTCATAAAAACTGAAACAAGTTGCTTAACCCTCTAAAATGGAACAATAAACAAATTAGGGATGTGGGGAACATACTAGGGGACCACTCCCTTTTGTACAGGGATGGGAATCCTTATTATGGTCCTTCAAAAACAACGTGCACTACAGTAACAGACAATCTTAAAGCACTAAGGTATTTCTTCAAGTGGTAACTTTCTGAAACTATATCCTTATTTCCCTGATGATGTTTTCTACCACCTTGAAGAATCTGGTTACTTCTGCAAGTGACAGGGACACTGCTGAATAGGTAAGAATAAGCCAAACAAGAAGACCATCAGTCTGCAAGTCCAACATGTTTGCTTTTAAATTAGCATATACAGAGCCACCTTTACAACTAAGGCCTTAGTGGCCTACGTTCAACCCCCTCTATGTAAAAGAGGCTAGAACCAATATGGAAACTCTTCTTGGGTGAAAGAAGGCTTTCTGCATGAAGGATGACATTGCAGTCCCAGAGGTAGGCAAAGGGCCTTGCTCTTGTCACAGGCACAAGAGGTTTCCACAGCTGGACACGTTTAGCCATAACAAGTACTTACAGGTTTGGTGTAAAGTATCCAACTAGAGTTGATACCAACTCAAGTCATCACCTTCATAATTAATTTAACCATTATCAAGAAGCAGAGGCCCCAGGCACCATTAGTTACAAGGGAAGTACCCCCTTCCCCACTTCCTAGTAATTTAAACTGAAGAGGGGATAGGTGGCTGTTTCCTCTAACCCTTAAGTACCTTTTCAATTCAGCTGGTTTGTGGTCATCATCACCAGCCTTCTTGTTTTATTCTCCAAGCACAAAATAACCCCCTGTATTTATTCTGTCAGAAGAGGAAAATAAAGATGAAAAATTTGGAAAATGATATTGGAACAGTAGGACAAAGTTTCTGGAAGGAGGGTGATTTTTTTTCCCAGCACTATGATAGTAAGACAATTCAAAAGTAGAAATTTCTAAAGTTAGCTTTACACAGCTACACATAAATAATTAGGCCAAATTGTAAGATTTGTAACCCTAAGTCTGAGCAAGAAACTGGTTGGGTAAAATAAGACAACTGCCAAATTCACAGAGGATGATTATCAAGGCATTATGAAAGTGAATATAAAATTTTTGTATATTGAATACTGCACAAGTGTTCTCATTTAAAAAGAAAATCAAGGTGTATATTAAAGAACTACATGGAAAAAAAAGCCTTGCCCTCTTTGTTCAACACAGATGAGGCCTCAAAGCATAGGACTATGATTTTTTTTTTTTTATTTCTATAGAGGTTTAGTTGATGTGCTATAGTGCTGAATGCCCAATAACTTTGGCTTTATTTCAGGGACATTTTAAAAGATTCCAATGGATACTACTAGGACTTAAGCTCTCCAAAGTCTAAGAAATAACTTTTTTTCAAGGATAAATATTTGCCTTATTGCAAAAATATCCTCTGCACTGACTCTGCTCTAGGTAACTGAAGAAATCCCTTTACAGAATTATTTAAATAGAAGTGGCAACAGAGAAATTCTGCAAGAAAACATTGCTCAAGCTCACACCCCTTGGCTTGAAGAAACACACAGTTCTTACAGAATAATCAGTTTTACTGCAATGTACAATACAAATCATTTACAGCATCTTTGTGAAAAATAATGCCATTTTGAGACTGGCACAGATGTTTTCCATTATCAAAAAGAAGCTAATGTAAACTCTTTTCTGTTTTGCCTTAAATACTTTGAAAAGTAATTTAGACAACCTTAAAAAAAAAAGTCTCTTTAAAAAGTCTACTTTACACAATGCTAACAAATCAGCATGCAGGCAAACATATTAAAACCGGACCAGCAGTGCTTGAAATAATTTTAAAAATTATTTTAAGAGAGATGGTGAAGGAAACTCCAGCTATACAAAAAGTCCTTTGGGCATTACCGTTCAATAAGTCTGAACTCTGCCAGCAGCGGCAGATGGTCAGAAGAGTTATTTTCATTTGGAAGACCATTAACAGTCCAAAGATCTTGCTCTGATACAAGTGCCAGCCTACCAAGAAGTTTCAATCCTCCACTGAGAGTGTGCTCTGCGCCTGATAAAAAAAAAAAGTGGAAATATATTCATTAGCTCAATCCTCCACTGAGAGTGTGCTCTGCTCCTGATAAAAAAGTGGAAATATATTCATTAGCTTGGCAAAAAACAAACAAACAAAAAAAAACCCACCACCACCACCCACAAATTCACTGCTCTGCAGAAAAAGGACTACAGTGTGACCCCTCAGATTGCTCAGCAGTTTCACTCCTTTGCCACTGGACAGCAGCTGCTCCTGCTGCGTTGCACAAGAGGCTACTCCCTTGGGCAGACCTGGGCACTGGA